AATACGAGATTAATCAGATTCACAGGAAACGACAGATGGATTTGGTCCGACTGTGGACGGAGGTCCCATGAAGGTCTTGTTGAAGCCGACGGTAGCACAGGAGGGTAGTGGGTTCAGAAGCTACAACGGGGACAAGCAGGAGCGTTTGGCTGCCAAAAAGTCTCTTGCTCGAGAGCGCTTCCCTCGTACGCTAGTGTTTTGTAATGTTGCAGCGTTGTCGCACTCTTACTGAAACGGCCAGGGCTGACCACTTTTCCCTTCCAGCATTGATACACATCGGGTGAAAAAACACCTGAGACAGAGAGTCTATTTCTCTTCAGCAATATTTATTCTGTGATCACCAAATATTGATTGAGTAATCTCGAAATAGATTTCTTCACAACTATGCTTCCAAGCACTCCCTGAGGTGGACCGGGACGTCCCAAAATGCAACTCGTAATTCATTATTTTCGTAATTCATAATTATTTTCGAATGAAGAGCCATCCATTAACTTCTTCGCTCTTTTGACGTCAGCAGTAGAAGAACCCTTTCTCGGTGAGTTCTATCTTGAAAACGTCGAATATGCGCGCCAGCTCCATCACTTTTGACCGTTCGTAGTGAATATTCTGGAAGGGAAACTATTAAAATAGTAAAAAAACGAATAGAAATCTACAGGGCTTTTTTGCTATAGGGAGGTGCTGGGAGACCCAGCTAGTCCTGTTCGCTACGTGGCCGGGACGCGTCAGGGGGCTGGTTTGGTGCTGCGCCAGTCGTTATCCACCAACTGTTGTCGCTTATGCGCTTCAACAATTGGTGGAAAATGGGCTTGGCGTTGCGACATACCCATCCCTGACACGCCCCATCATCCGCGGCGAATCAGACTTTAGATGAAGCTGTGGCGAGTCCACAAAGTGAGTAGCTAGTTCGAACTCACCTCTATACAGTGCACTATGGACATAATTTTTATAAGACGAGCAGCATAATTAGGAGTTTTTGTGACGAATGTGTAGTGATTGTGTAAATCGTCAGAGATCCGCTCTCGATAGAGTTCCGCTATGATTGTGTTTCTCGAACTCACTGGTTTACACGGAACTTACATACATCGACCTGCGATTAAGATTTACCAGTTTTGCAATATCTGTGGCTTAGACAATAATGTCAACTGGTTTCATTGCCTTACGTCGCACTTCGCGCTTGTCCCCACGCTCGAGAAATCTTCCAGGAATACTCAATGCAATAAGTAGTGTGACCCTAAGACCTCTATGATTATCACACTTCTGTAGCTTTGCGAAGACGCTGGCGGCCACCTCATAAGGGGCAGTCCCTTGACGCCTCCAGTTGTCCTACTAATCCGCGGTTTTTTTGACATGGTTTAACATGGCCAGTGAGAAGAACTAGCGATGTGCACTCCCCGTCCCCCCTAAGCCGTACTTTGCGAGCGTGAGAACGCGACCGTACGCTCCGTCGGGTAAGACTTCGTCCTGTCCAGCCATGCGTTTCAAAGGCAGTTGGCACGATAAACCTCCAAGACGTGTACGACTAATGCGCCTAGCAGGACTGAATTCGGCACCCTGAGCAGGCGCTGCGTAGCGCCTTTCCCAAGGAAGGTACCCTTATAGCGCCCTATCAAGCTGCAACATACCGACCCGAACGCCCACCGCGCCCGCCCGCCCACAAATGTCCGACCAACCTGATGCTCGTATTGTTTCATTTATTATATAAAATACGAAGGGATTGATATGAAGCGGCTGCGGTGCTGCATGGATATATGAGTACATACGTGCAGCCGTATCTACCGTAGCGGTTATTGGCAAGATGCCTACGGGAAACTCGTCCGAAATTGCTTTTTGAGTCATTGAGAACGAAGGCTTTTCTTCGCAGGTTTTTGACCGTTTCACTTCGTTTTTTCACCATTTCTCACCGTATGGCACCTTGCTATTTGGGACCAAGAACCAAATGTCGTGCCATATGCTCAAAAAGACGCGTTCAAGAATGGTAAGCAGCGCGGCTCAAGTAGTAATAAAAGAGTGGTGTTTAACACAGAAGTGAAGAAAAAACGCAGAAACTGCAACCTCGTTATCAGCTCTTTCTCTTTATCACCTCACTCTCATATTCAGAATGGAGAGAGTTAGTAGCGGTAGAGCAACCGCCTTCACCACGATACTTTCAGAAATGAAAGTTGGGCGTTGCCGTAGTCAAAGGGCGGGGCCGCGGCTTGTAGCGAGCGGGTCGCGCTTTCTTCATGTAATTTTGAACTGCGGAAGTAGTACATCATTCATGCTTGCAAACATTTTTTAGCGTCTGCGCATCGAATGGACGCGGAGTGTGACTTTAATTCCGTGGCACAGAACTCAATTCTTGTGAAGACCTCGAGTGCTGTCTTGGCATTGTGACAATGCGGCATTTTTAGTCACCGAACCCCTAATTTTTACAAAATGGTCGCCATTTACCTTCAACGTGCCATGCTAAAGTACACAAGATGTAGACAATTTCGATCGGATCAAGACAGATTTCAAGGCATGACTTGGTCACCTCTTCAAGTAAACGGCCAGAGAATGGCTGGAGCATTCTGAATGAGCTCAATTTTGCTTCTTTGAATATTCACCATAAGAAGCAAAGAACCTGCATATGTAGTCGGGATCATAGTCAGTTAGCATGGAGACGTCGAACTTGAGTGAGTCCATCTTCACAACGACTTGGTCCGTCAACGGATACATCTTAATAGAAACCTATACTACCTATAACTCACAAGTCAGAACTTCGAAAAATCTTCCAAGTGATGCTTGAAGCACAGGGTACGTCGTACGTTGGACTTTCACGATTGTTGAATTTTCTTGGCTTTTTCCGCTTCATGGTGCCACACCCCCTTCTCCCCACCCACCTCTCAACGGTGATGCTTTGGGAGAAGCGGAAAAACTGGAAATCAAAGATTCTTCCCGTAAGTTGGGGAGATTAGAGACCATAGGTAAGGCAGAGGTGGGCAAGGGGATCGTACGGGGGAGGATCTTTCAAAGGGGTCTTTTTTGCAAAGGAAGAATGGACGTGCCATAGTGATTTAGACCTTCGCTCTAGTTTTCGGGAGCACCAAGTACCAACCAATCAATATCCATTCTTTTCGCACCCAACCACCATATAAAACTCACGTACTATAACGAAGCCTAGTAATATAGATAAAGAAAGGGATTGTCGTACGTTGCGAACCCGTTCATGCCTGGTTGGGAAAGGGGGTAGCCTGCTTTGCCAAGGAGTTTTTTTTCATGAATGGTGAGTTTCCAGTTTCACACGCGCTGTAACTCATCCCGCCCTAGGCCACCGCGAAACTGCTACTATTAGGTTGACCGGAATGTTTCCCGCCACGTGTTTGATCGCACCTATTAGCCTTGCATGTATGTTTATGACTTATCGTGGGGTGTGCATGAAGCACGCAAGAGACTTTCATCACTACCTCACACTCACCCAGCTTGCATTTGGATTCCAAAATGCCGCCCAAGTTTCAACCCGACAGGATGCACCTGAGGCACTGTCTTCTTTTCCTTCATCAGTCTGGCTTAAACGCAAAGGAAGCCCAAGCCAAGATAGTGGATACATATGGCGCTGACGCTATCTCTTACGACACGTGCAAGACCTGGATGGCCAAGTTCAAGAAAGGAGATTTTTCTCTCCAAGATGCTCCAAGGTCCGGCCGGCCGATGGAGTTAGACTTGAAGTTGCTGCAATCCACCGTGGAAGAGGATCCGTACGCCACTACCAGGGAACTTGCAGCGATGCTCGGCCATGCCCAATCAACTGTTGAATCTGGGCTGGAGAAGATTGGTAAAGTCGCAAAGCTTGGCCGTTGGATTCCTCACCAATTCAATGGCGGGAAACTTTCCGGTCAACCTAATAGATCGGAACCAAATTGCCAACTAGCTGGAAGTTCACCCCCACTTTCACTCGACGGCGAATTTTCGGAAAATTTTAGTAATCTGGTCGATCAGCGCTTGAAAAACTCGTCTTCAGAACGTACGCTGACAACGAATGTCGCTTCTTCACCTGGGTGCCATGAATCTAAACGGAAGTACGGTGCATGGCGCATACTGAATTTTTGTTGGGTTTGGAGATTATTCAAGGAAGATTATGGATATTCTATTCAAGGAAGATTATGGATATTCCCCTACTTACTCCCCCGATCCTGTAGTAGGATTCCTCCCAGCTCAGGCGTACCCTGCATTTGAGTGTACCCCCTGAATAGTTTTCACATCCGAAGAGTTTTCCACTGAAATGCATATTGTTTCTCACCTTTTCGTGTAGTGCTTTCCACCCGAAGAGCTCCACTGACATTGTGATCCGCTCGAAACGTCGCCAGATCATCCACGAGTTTTTGAACATCACCACCTGAGCAGGAGTGCATCAGAAAGTGAAGGAAACAAACCGAATTAAAGGAAAAAAGAGGTTAAGATATTAGGTGATGCCTTTTGTTCAAGGGGCAGTTGTGCGAATTCCTGGCAGTGCATCAGCCATTCCGCAATGGCGTAAAATTGAACTTCCCAGAACGACATGAGTTCCGACACATCCAACGAGTCAACCATCTAAAAATTGTTGTAGGAAAGGTAAGTTCTATCAGTTTAACTCAGAACGTGTTCTGATTATAAAGCGAGGAAGTAGCGAGAGCTTGAAACAACCTCAACATCCTCCTGCTGGTTCACTTTGAATTTAGTCTCCTAGTTCCCAGCGGTGTCAGACGGCTGCGAAACAGGTGTATGCTGGGGTGTCTGTAATGTTGCCTAGTACTCACAGCGCGGTGTTCGCTCGAAGATTGATTGGTGCGTACCGGGAGGACGGGTTTTGGCAGCAGCAACAAAACTGTACCATATCATTCGTATGTAGCAGTCGCTTCCACCAATTCATGTCGCTTACCCGCTTCGAATGTTGGGAGAACGGGCTGGCGGATCGCCAGACCCCAGTTTTGGCTGAGACCGTGCCCTCCCTCCCAACCCATCTTTCACACGAACAACCTTAATCCTTTCGGGGTGCGCCACAATTCCAACTTCCATTTAGACTTGTAGTAATCTCCAAATGCGTTTCAGCTGTGAGAGTTACTGGCGTGCTGATCCATCTAAAAGGGTGTTCCTCATCTATTGGTGGTTCCACTGCAATGGCATGTGGATGGCAGTTTGGCTGGCTTGGGCGAATTTGATACAGAAACTGTTTAGTGGCGCCCCACCCCCCCCCCCGCCAGCCATGGCTGGCGGCTAAATACGGTTAGCTATACTTCATACCCTGCAAATGAGTGGGCGTGTAAGAGGAGTGGACCAGAGTGCAGCCAGGGCAACGCTGACCAAATACTCAGGATGGCATCACCGATGAAAGAGGCTACCTGGCTACTGTCCTGCACCACTCCATCATCCCCGCCTTCTCATTTTCGAGGACAATGAAGTCTAATCAGATGGAGGATAGTAGGCCTCCGAATGTGTTATGCTCTACCATTTAACCATCTACATATTGACGCGCGTTAGTTTAGGATCTGGGGATTGTTATAGGGTTTTTAACAAGATTGGACGCGAAGCTCGTTTACTTCAGGATCAGCTGCACACCGCTGGCCTCTTCTATGACGTAGCAAAGCGTGATGCATTCGCATGAGTGGCTCATTTGGAACATTTGCATCAGGTTTGAACTGAAAATGAATCAGGATCACTGAGAAGCTCTGTGCGTCAAACATAAGTATATAAGTTCGTACGTAGAATACCAGTCCACAACAAGCAGTCAGTCCATTTTAAACATACATCGTTGATGCATCTAAGGGAGCCCTACTTCATGCTTTATGCTCCATATCCCGTTAATGTGGAGGGCGTGGCTGCATACTTCATGTGAAAGAGGCGACTGCATTTTGTGGGGGATTGCCGTTTTGGAACCATGTAATATACATGTGTCTATGCCAATAGAAATCGTTTCAAATGGAGATAACCACGGAAAAACGCATTCTACGCTGTGTTCAAATAAACTACATGACCACGCCTTCCCGGTGTTTGGGATATAGAGAGTGACTTTTTGTGATGATCGCAGTACATTGCTGGGAAAAACTGATGCTGATCGCACCGTAGCTCGTATAGGGCAGACCAAGGTTAGGGAAATTCCGTCACGGGCGTACTCGGTCAGTGGTTGGGGGGAGGTCGCATTTGCCTCTAGAAAAATCTTTCGTTTTTTTAGGCTTTTCCGTTTCTCATCCTCGCTATACCGCCCCCTTAGCGCCCATTCTCGACGGTAGTTTTTTTTTGTAGGAAAACTGAAAAAAAAATCGGAAAATGATGGGAACATGGGAAAATTAGGATCATGGCCGTTAGCATAGGAAAGGAGTGGTTGTACTCACACCGTTATTTCACGGTGTCGCACGCTTGCTATCGCCTGTTTTCGTTACTGCTCCTTTTCAATGATCACAAAAAGAGTGCTCAGAACCTTGCAATAGTCTATTAACGGAGGCAGTCTTTTAGTATTTGTGCGGTTTACGGTTCACCGGAGGAACCACCTTGAACCAACAGTTGTGTGAACGAAAAGGAAAAGCATGAAGCGAAAAAAAAATGCATGCGAAACCTATGTAGAGATCAGAAAGAAACTCAAATTTGTTTCATTGGTTTCATTTATTAGAACGATATTGAGTGAAAATTTGGTAACGGGGCTACTCTCCTACCTCTGAAAAGATGGCTCCTTAATTTGGGCCATCATTAGGTGAAAGTCAAGACACGTTATTGTGGATACCAGAATCTTGATGGGATTGCAATAGGACAGTGTCTGGGCGAGGAGGTGCCTGCAATTAAGTCATTAAAATTAAGTATTTTGAATCTAATTAGATTAGAAATAAGCAGATAATCACATTTGAAGTTGGGAGAATAGATATAACGGATTCCTCAATTCCCGTGCCATCTGTACAGCAGAACAAAATTTGGGCTTCTTAATTACTCCGCATCCTAGCGATGGATTGGGCGTGGCTGCGTACTTTCCCAAACATGGTGAGGGAATCGCTGGTTCTGATAGATTGGCTGTCGAGATTACTAAAGAACTAGGTTAGCGTGCGGTGAGACGAACGCCTGAGAGCTCGCTCTTACACTCATTTTCGCTACTAGGCCTCTGGGCGGGGCTTGCTGCGGCGCTTTCGTCATGCTGTGACTCCACCAGAAAGTGGCAGACGCTGAAACAGGCCGAAGCCGTGTCATCCTCCCGCCACCTGACAGGACTCAGCGTATGGAGGGCAAATGAAACAGGACTACGGGTACGGGTATGATGCACTTCTATGAGAGTCGTTAAAAATGAAATAGACAGTTTGCAAAGAAAGTGCCATTCGAACCCTGTGGCACCCCGCGTTTCGACAAACCCGTTCAACATTCTTGAAAACAATCCTTGCGCTCAAGCAGCTCGTCGTCTATCATATTACAAGTCGTCTAACCCTCAGTCTTTAAGACTGTCCCACTTTCGCGTTGCGGCCCCATAAGCAGCAGTTCTGAAGCCTCCCTAGTCACTCCGCCCACCGAAACTCAGAAGCTGTTTTTAGTCAGGAGTACAATTTTCACACGGTGTTTTCCTTTTTTCTAGTTAAAGCACTGGATGACGCGAAGAAACGATTAGGGAGCCAGAGGTTGCAGGATACCCTTTGCTGGCATGAAACGTGCAGGTTCGGAGAACGAGGCTGCCAAGGGGTCCTTAAGGTGTTCTCCATGTTTTTTTTTGCTTTTTCTTCGTTGCTAGGTCACTGCGACTATGGGCTCGTTATTGCGCTATTGGGAATGGCCTTACCCACAAAATGCAGTCGCGACATTTGTCTTCGAGTCATGCCGAGAAGAGTAGTGCATGTTCCGGCAAAATAACCCAAAAATATCAAATAATACACAATATACAAATAATCATCACGTGAAGGAGTGCTGTAAGGCTATGGCACAAAATGCCATTGAGCTGAAAAGGTAAGAGTGGCCCCGGTAGCGTAATGGATAACGCAACCGCCCGGTAAGCGGGAGATGCGGGCTTGAATCCCGTCCCGGGTCCGACTTCTGCCAATATTGTGTTTTGTTTTTTTTCTAGTAACCGTATTGTTGTTCGTTCTATGACTCGAAGCTTATCGTTTGCATTGTTAGCGCACCTATGCGTGCATGATAAATAAATAAATAAATAAATAAATAAATAAATAACTCAGCATTCTTGTGATATCTAATACTCACGTGATCCTCATCATGAATCGGCACTAAACCTGTATCGTCGTCTGCTTTGGCTCCGTAGTTCGTAAGTAGAAGCCTAGACGTTCTATTGGAGTCTTCTCACTTCAACTAATTGAAGGAAGATGAACTGTCATCCGTACCTCATACGAGAGAGGAGTTTCCTGGGAAGAACCACCTTGAGGCTCGTAGTCTATCGTTATCGATGCTGGACGACTGAAAAGGCTATTTTTGATTATGGAAGAGAGCTGGATCAGATTAAAACAATTACGGTCGATTTCTTCGGTTTCCTCCCTTCCACTGTCGTTGAAAGTACATCTCTGTTCCACTGCACGTCTAGAATGGTAATGCCAGGAATTACGCGGCAACTAGCTAGGAAGCGTTCAGACTTCGCGATAGTGCGCGTCATCGCAAAGTTTGAACGCTGCTTCACTATATTTTTTGTAATGTAAGTTCTTCTGAATGAACATACTGTCAGCAGTCATGCCAAGTGCGAGACATTTGTTGTAGCGACAAAGTCGGCAAAGATATCGTTCATCTTTGGAGATCTGGCAGAGGCCGTTCGCTCTTCGGCAAGTATACTGTCGATTCATTACCACAGTCCGCCTGAAGGTACAGTCTAGTTCGCTGTTGATGAAGGGGCGTGTCCAGCGGGCTGGATTTCGTGGAGCCAAACCTTTTCCTAACAGCTGTCAAAGCGAGCCAGAGGCAAGACTGTATCTATCGTTTCGCATCAATCGTTTTCCGTCGATGATTTCGCTTACCCGCTCCAGCAACTGATACAGAACGGGTTCGGTGCCGCGCCAAATCCATCCTGCCGGACACGCCCCTTCTTTTACGGCGAGCCAGCGTATATGTTTCACCCCTAGTTTTCAAAAGACAATCTGGGCGGGGTCACTCCGATTACTACGTGTTTGCAATGGTGGGACCACCTTCCATCTCACCCTTCTTCACTTCATGGGCGCATTTACTTCGATCATTGGCCCTTCGTAATTACCGCCATTCCTACCCTTCGAGAACATAACAAGGATTGGCTCACAAATTGGGAAAGCGCATTGGTAGAAGTGACTCCGCCCAAACAATCAGCGTGGAGAGTGTGGAGTGCTTTTCATTATCAGATAACAATTCTCAAGA